GCACCTTTGTAGAAGGACAGCCTGATCATCTGGGTTCCCTCAGGAGGTAGACTGAGGCAGGGATTCAGGGAGGGGTATGTGTGCTACAGGGGCCCACTCACCAGTCAGAGGAGGCAGGTGTCATGTCCATCCATTCATACGTGCAGGAGGGCCAGCTGGGATTGCCCCACAGGCTTAGTGACCAGGTGGACACACTGCTCTTGACTGCAGTAACTCTTAGATGTAGGGGAAAAAGCCTCCTTGTTATTATCTTCCGTTGTCTCCTTTTCGTAATCTAATAGCCTATTAACTTTCTTTTTCTAAGCTATCTGAAATACATTTTGGAAAAGGGTGACTATAAAAATAACTAGAAAAAAGGAAAGAAAATTATGCTGTGTTGTTTTTTTAAGAGAAAAATCATGTAAATCTGGATTAGGCAATAAGTGAACTCATTAGGTATGGTCATAATACCAGTGTGCTCTTGTCCACTTTTCAGCGGAGGAAGATGAAGCTCAGGTTAACTGGCATGTCTAAGGTCACACAGCAAATAACCTGGATTGAAACTCAATTCAATACAGTCTGTATTCTTAACCCAGTCCCCCAAAAGTAGAGCAAACTACTTACCCTTTTTGAGCCTCAGTTTATCTTCTGCTTATCTACTGATACATAACAAATCAACACTTAGTAGCTTAAAGTGACAAACACTGGTTATGATCCCTCATGGTGCTAGACTTTGACAGGGCTCAGCTAGGCAGTTCTGTCTTGGTTCTCAGTCATTGGCTAGGCTGGCGTCATCCTGAATGCTTCCTCACTCATGTCCGACAGCTGATACTGGTTATCAGCTGGAACATGGGGCTGTCAGGCCTCTCCATGTGGCCTGGGCTTCATCAGAAAATGGTGGCTGGGTCTCAAGACACAGAAGTGAAAACTACTAGTTCCTAACACAACTGTGAGACTGGCCTAGCATCACCTGAGCAAACAGAGTCCAGATAGGACAGAGATACCAGCTATCACTGAGGCTAAGTTTTAGAACCTCCACATCTATAAAATCTATAAAATGCATATAACTGCACAATGAAGACCTGTTGTTTTTGTTATGCCAAACTTGCCTTCATCTAGCAACAGAACTCTTATTTTCCTTTTGGGGATTCTTCCCTCTTCCCGTCCATACTCACAGGCTCTGTGGCCACGCTCTGCCACCACTTAGAACCTGAGAATGATGCCAAAAGAGGAGACCAAGCTGAAGAACAGAGAAATATTCGTGATGACAACTCAAACCCCTGCATCCACAGGGTGTGCAGAACTGTATTTGGAACTTTAGATTGGTGGAACCAGAAACTTCCCCCTGCTTAAGCACATTTGAGTCCAGTTTATATAACTCGTAACTAAAAGTTCATACTGCATCCACCTAAAATGTGGTTATAGAGATTAAATAAATGTAAAATGTACCTTTTACACACATATTCAGGAAGTTATTTTATTTATTATGGAATAATTTTATTACGAAGAATGTGGCCATGGCTGTAGGGATTTTTATTTGCCCAAAGTTAATGAATGGCCCAACTGGAATTCAAACCCAGGATGCCTAGATCAGAATCTTGCCCAGCTTTACGCTCCATATTTCTGTGGCCTTGTCAGATAGATGGTCCACTGTAGAGTATATATAATGTCCTTATAGGATAAGAGATGACCTGGCCAGGCTTGGCTAATACTGAATGGACACTCACGTTCCAAATCCTCAAAAAGCATTTCAACAGCTGCTACTAAAACATTCTGAATCATCACATGAAACGAGGCCTAAGAGGGATTAGAACCAAATTGTGGCCATATTTTGACGCTCCTCAAATTAAGAATTTGGACTAAGCCATGTGACTTGCTTTGACCAAAAAACCTGGCAAACATGACACGAGCAAGAACTTCAAGAACACTTGCACCCTGACGCTTACCTGGTCTGCCTGTGAGATTCTGAGAACATGTGGCCCACTTGCCCTGCTGCCCAGCCAACCCCTTAACAAGTAGGTGAGGTTATCTGGGATCCACGCCCCCCCCCCCCCCCCCCCCAATCTGGCAGTTCACTTCAGCCATATCAGAGCCCAGCTGAGTGCAGCCCAAATTGCCAACCTACTGAATCAGAAGGTAATAAATGTTTATTAAAGGTACTACCTTTTGGGCTTGTTCTACAAGTGAACTGATGATAAAAGGCGCATTTACTATCCCTGATCTAGGCCAACCCCTCACACAGATGAGGAAACAGAGACCTAGCAAGGAGTAAGACTTGCCTGGCATCACAAACCTTGCTGGCAGCAGTACAGGGAGGAAAGCCATGGCTTACAATCCAGTAAATCCACTGATTGTGTTAATTCCTTTAAGACAGCTGCCAGGATCACAAATGAGGCTTCAGATCTTCAAAACATCTAGGAAATTGTAGCCTTTTGGGCAGAATCTGGTATCCTATGTCTTCATCATCTCCTTTTGGTTTTCAGAGGTTGAACAGATAAATGAAAACTGAGGAGCAAAGGAATGGGAAAGGATTTTCCTGCTCCAGACACAGGGAGGGTGGGCAGGTGTATACAACATGGTTTTGTGGATGTGAATCTCCCACTCAAACTTTCCCAGGGGCTAAGTAGTTCAGGGCCTTTTGTGTGGTGCCAGGATGGAAATCTTGCTCTGTCCAGGATGTTCTGGTGCCAGGGTGATTAGGCAGGACCTCTGGGTAGGGCAGATGCTTCCTGCCCTGGAAGGGAGGTCTTCCCTCCTCTTCTGCCTAGCATATTACAGAAGCTCATGGCCCCTCCTGTTCTACCTGACCCCAAACACTGAAAAGTGCGTGCTTCAGTCCCTATTGAGCAGGGCCCTGTAGAGTCTGAGAATGTTATTACAGCACAATGGGCACAGAGCACTAGGCTCTGGAGACACAGGAACATAGTGTCAGCCCTCAATGTTAAGCCCACCAAGGTCTAAAACCCCTCCTTTGGATTTGGCCCAAGTTCCAGTCTAGGACAGTATACAAGGTAAGGACATAAAAACCTGCCCAGGTATGCAAGTGGGTTTGCTAGAACTGGGCTCTGACCTTCTGGGCAGCAAGGATACATTGTGACTTCAGGAACTGCAGGGGTAATGTCCCACTGCGGGTGATTTTGGGAGGGATGGGACAATCCCTGTGGACCCAGCCCTTTCTTCTGGACACCTTCTTTACCTATTCAGGCTGAAGCCTTTTGTTACAAGTAAGCTGGGCCAGAACCCAGCCCAGTTCCAAGGGGCTATTTTTCATCCCAGGTCTGAATCTCTCAGACATAAGGCCTCAGCCTCTACCCTCTCTCCCCCTGCTGCCCAGGGTCCCTGAGAGGCACACATATGGGGACTGTGATCCCACTTGTGGAGGTAAAGCTCCAAAAAGGCAGAAACTTTGCTCCACATCACCCTATGAGGCAATGGCTAAGCAAGGATGGGGGCATTTGCCTCAGGTGTGGGTCCAGGACTCGGGCTGCCTCAAGGGCTGGTTAATCAGGCCCCTGGCACAGCTTGGGAATGCAGAGCCACACTAGGGCTTTAGACTGCTAGCCAGACAATGACAGGCAGGAAGGGAAGCCCAGGGAAGGAGACACAAGACAAAAGCACCCCTGGGTGATTCCATACCCAGGGTAGCCTAGCTTGTGCAGTCTCAAGCCCAGCCTCTAGCCTCCACCAAAACCGGGGGCCAAAGCCTGGGGGAAGTTTGATGGAGGCTGTTGTAGAACTGTTGGTCTGAAATAAGATTTTCAATAAGAATTCCAGCAGGCCTGAGACTTTGCAGAACATGTAAAGATGAAGAGCCCAAACCCCTTTCTGATGATGGGACCAAATTCCCTGCGTTGGGGAAGGCTGTCTAGAAGAGAGAATGAACAATTTTTGAAGAGCAGTAAGCTGGTAAGAAAGACTTCTCAGAGGTGCCCACACTGGAACAGCAGCTTAATAATGAGTGGGTATTTCTCAGAAGGGGAAAGGAGCAAGAAGAGTACGTGCCAGACTAGGAGCAAAGCACATTTCTCGGTGTCTGCCCACCAAAGCCCTACGCCAGGGACACCAGACTAACCACACCTTTGTCACCAGGTTCACAGGACTGGGTAGGGTACTTATGTATAACCTATGAGTGACTCAAAAAGATCTGCTGTGGCAGGTGATCCTCTCCTTGGAATCTGAACACAGAGAAATTGGTCAACTTGTGGGGTGAAGTTAGGACAAAAGTGGAAATTTGAAGGAACACTGCCAGTTGTCAGGGAACAGAGCAAAACATCTAGACAGGCGGCCCAGGATAGGTACAGGGAGGCCACAGGTATCCTGATGCCAACTTCCTACTGCTTGAGGTTAACTGGAATTGGGCTCTATTACTTGCTGCCTATGAGACTGAAAGACTTGTGTGGGGCAGGTGACAAAAGACGGAAGAGGCCAGGGTATACAGGATCGTGTACAGGAGTTGGGAGTTTTGTCCCAGTGGTGAGCAGTCAGGTAAGGGTTTTACAGGAAGGGACAGGACTCAGAAAAAGCACCATGGTGGCTAGTGGGAAATGAGGCAGGGAGAAGACTGGGAAGCTGGTGAGAGGACAGAGCCCAAGTGAAAAAAATGTAGCATCCTAAAGTAGGACAGCCAAGAGAGGACAAGGCGGTTCCAGAATCATCTTAGAGCTGGGAAAGACCAGACTAAACAAGAAGCTGAGATCTGAACCTACCACTGACTAACCAAGTAGGTCACAACTGCTTGCACTTTAGCCACCAAAATATTCTCTTGGGCACTGGGATATCTGACCATCCCCCAACAGCCCTCCTGGCCATTTCTATTCCCATTTTAGCTGTGGAAACTGAGGCCTAGACAGCCTAGCAGTATGCACCCGAGACAATGCTCCCTAGTCGGGAGAAATGAAGGAGGAGAAAGAACAGGGGAGGCAGACCAGACCAGACCAGACTCTTGGCATTAAGCAGACCAGGCCAGACTCTGGGTGGCCAGGAGGACTAGGGTACCTTAAGAAAATACAAACCATCCCATCTCAGAGCAAGTTGGGATCCAATCTCTTTATTGTTAGGGTGCCCTCCCCGTGACCCTCCCCTCTCCAAACCTATAGAAAAACCCCAAGCCTGGGAGTGTCCTGGAAGGGGAGGTAGAGTGTGGGGAAACCTCTGTCCTCTGGCCTGGGCAGTGCCAACAAGGAGGGTATGTGGGGAGGGGAGGCCGATAACTGCACCTGCAGATGATGTGGCAGTGGCTGGGACGTGTGGGGGAGGAGGTGCCTGCTCTCCTGGGACCCGCTGGGGGTGGTATCCAGGGGTGGGTGCCCAGCATGAGGCCTGATACAGTGTACGCCCTTCTCCTGCCGCTGGCCGTCGCTCCTGTCAGGCGGAGAGAGAGAGAGACAAAGCAAAGACTGAGGCTCAAAGGAAGAGCCCCTGGGACCCTTGATTATTACGACTGGGAAGACAAAAGGGCAGAGTGGTGTTTACTATTTACAGACAGAGATGTGCCTGCACTCTGGCTCTGGCCTCCTTATTTTCTGGCCGTGCAATCTTGGGTGAGTCTTTCCCCCTCCCTGAGCCTCCATTTCCTCACTTAAGCCCTGTACCTCATCTGAGAATTGGCTTCACAAGGTAAAACTTAGCCTCCTTGGTAAAACCAACCATGAAGCTCCAAGAGGATGGACCGATATACAGAATCTCCTAAACTGTTTGGGAAGCTCTTGCTGGTGGGGCATCTCACAGAATGAATGTGTCATGTGTAAAGACACCTCTGCAGTCAAGGCCTTCCTCCACCCAAGCCTGTCTTACCCTGAACACAGCCCACAAAGAAATGGGGCAGAGCAGGGTGGTGGGCACTGGCCAGAGAGTAGGCTAGGAGGCCATACACCACTGGATTCAAATCTAGGCTCCACCAATTACCACTTTGGGATCTAGTGAGATATAGGCTACCTCCCTGCCCCCTTCAGTGCCTCAGTTCCCACGTTACACTGATACAATCACAACCCTATGGGGTTGGGACAGTTCCTGGCACACAGGGCATTTCCTCCCGGCAGGATCAAGTCCCAGCCCCTAAGCCTGTCACAGCCATCACTCGGATAATGAACTGTTCCCTCTACCTTACCAGGCAGAGCCAGGACTACAGCCACAGGAGGCTCCTGACCCATCTCCCACATATCAAGGACCATCAGAACCCTGTGCTTTGCTAAAGCGGTTCCCTCAGATGCCTCTCCTTCAATCCTGAACAGGCTCAGCTAAATATCAACTCTTCCACAATACCCCTTTGGACCCCCTGCCTCTCCAGCCCATCATCCTGCTCGCACTGAGTGGTAATGGTTTGTGTCTTCCTCCACCAGACTCTGAGTGCACTGAGGGAACCCATGCGGCCGGGCTGGTCTGGCTAGCTCGTCCACGGCTCCTACTCCCACAGCCTACCAAGTTCCTGCCACAGAGGAACATGGCAGAATGGCTGCGGATTGAGGGGCCGTCCTTGCTGGGTACAGCGAGACCCTACCAGGTCTGCTTCACGGCATGCCTGCCGCCGCTCTTCACCCCGTCCACTGGGAGCCCCATACCTGCTTACTGCAAGGCCCCATCCTCCGCGTCTGTGTCCTGGCTGTGCTCCTGATAGGGAGGGGGCAACAAGAGACCACACATCACTCACTACCAACTCAGACTCATGCTATGGGGCCCACAGCACTTCGTGAGACCAAACTCTGAAAAAAGAATGATTACAGGACCAGTTTCAACACAGCTGGCTTGGGTTCCTGACAGGATGGTCTGAGGCCGTCCCCCCAGAAGAGAAACAGGACCAGTTAAGGGCATTCTAGGTGTGGGAGGGGAGCACATTTCTGAGTAGAAGGACCTTCTCAGACTGCAGCAGGCTGAATGCCCAGTGGACTGGTGAGCTCCCGATCCTTGGGACACCTAAGCTTTCATTAGGGCCTTTATGGAGACTACTATGCCTGAGAGAATAATTGGGTCAAAAAAGGAGAGACGAACTAGGGGCATGAGGAGGATCTCTGAACTGTAGTGGCCATGGGCCCATGTGTCCTCGTGCCAGAACCCAATACTGACGAAAAGGAGAAAGTTCCAGACCTGGTGAAGAAGTCTCAGCTCTAATTCTGGCTCACTCCTTATCAGTTAATAAGGCCCTGAGCAAGTTACTCTAATCCTCAGTCTCAGTCTCCTCACTGGGTAAAACGTGGGAATAGTAATAACTTTGCACAGTGCAACACTGTTAAGGTTAAATAAAGTTAGAAACTACAGGGCCTGGTGCTCAGAGTGTCTGTTAGGTAAATGAGTAGTAAGCACACCCAGTTATCATACAGACTCAGAGTCTGGTCTATCTTCCTACTTCACATAAGCTCCTTGCCAATGACTTCCCAGCCTCACTCTGACGGGTTCCAATAACAAAGAATTCCCTCTATGCCTCTCTCATGAGACAGCCTGCTTCGTGCTTAGGCAGTAATGGCTTTTAGAAAATCCGCTGGTAGAGTGGCTACCCAACCTCCCTGAGACTTCCCCAGGCAATCCTAGTCCTGCCTGCCCCCTGAAACTTTGCAGACTGTGCACCTTTAGGCCCCTGACTCTTCCCTTGTCCAACCTGTATGGAAACCAAGTCTAGAATAGGCCCTGGACTCCAGAGAAGTCTGCCTCAGTCCTCAGTGGGACTTCTGACTGGCAGGTGAAACAGGCAAGCCTTCTTCACAGGAAGAGGAAGGAGGAAGCTCACAGTGACACTCACCAGCTCAGAGGTCCCCCTTCCCGTGCTCCCCTCCTGCGCACCCCTCCCCAGCTGTGCCCTCACCAGCTCTTCCTCGCTGTGTGTCAGCAGCCCCTCCTCATCACCGTCGTCTCGAGCCTGTGCTTCTCCCTGGGGTGTGCCTGCCTCAGAAGCCGTGTCCTCTTGGGGGGCTGGTGGCCGGCTGCCGCCACCACTACTGCCCCCGCCACTGCCACCGCCACTGCTGCTGTCACCCTTCTTCTTGCCATCTTGAGGGGAAAGGGGTGGGAAGAGGGGAAAAGAACTCAGCCTGGGGCAGTTGCCCAAGGCAGTATCTTAGCGGCAGCTAGGCCTCGGCATGGTTGGATCCATGTGGCATTGGAGGCCAAAGCCCCTCTATGCCCTGTGTGCTGTCCTCCCCGCACTCTGCCCTTGCCCCTGGTACCCAAGCTGGGCAAGGACCCATGGAAGCTGACCTGGGTTGGCCTTCTGTTCCTCGGCAATCTGCTCCAAGCGGCCCAGCAGAGCATCGATGTTGGACTTGATCTGCGTCAGCTCTGTCTTGATGGTCTGCAGCTCACTGCTCTTTACTGGGAGCACAGGGAGTACAGGCTGTCACCCAGATGCTGGGAGCTTGACACTAACATTAAGACTCTCCTTAGCCCCATTCTGTCAACCAGGAAGGCAGGCCAGCGGGAGGAATGTCCTCATCCATGGCTCTTCGGCCAGCAAAAAGGCTGGAGCTGCCCGCGGCTTCTCCCTGAGACTTTTGAGGCCCGGCCTATAGTAACCAGATCTTTTCCTGTGACCTCTCAACAATGAAAGGGACTGGAGATGGAGGAGAATGCAGATGTGGTGTGCACTTGAGCGATCATACATGTTTTTCCGGTGCCTAGATTTCAAGGTGTGTGGATGTGGGTGTTTTACCATCGGCTTTCCTGGGTACCTGGCTGCAGCGTTGTGGACACCAGAGTGAATGTGAAGCAGTGGGCCTGTGCAAACTGGTCCTTACTACAGAAAAGATGATGACACCTTCTCCTCACTGGGCTCCATGTCACCACACTGGACATTTCTGTGCCCAAACCAAGCCCCTCTTCCTCAAAGGTCAGCCTTTTCCTCTTAGAAATGCAATAAAAATACTCACTTGGTTTTGCTAGAGCTGCAGAACTGTGGGAGATTTGTTCCTTCATCTATTTCCCAATGTAATAATATGCGATTCTATTATTTTGCTATCGAGAAAAAACAAAGAATCTAGGAAGAAGATACAGTCACTCACACTTGATCTTGGCTGAGCTGGTGGTAATGGCTGTGGAGCGGGCAAAGAGCTTGACAGGGATGGTGGTTTTGACACGCCGGACCAAGGGCACTGTGACCCGGGGTCGCTTCACAGGGACTGCCCTGGGCACTGGCACAGGTGACAGGCGGCCCCGATAGTCGAAGAGCCTGTAGGGGCAAATGGGCCAGAGGCTGCAGCATGGCCTGTGGCCACCAGAAGGCACTGCAACTCTAGACCAACAAGTGCTGGTGAAGGGCTGGGCAGTCTGCACTACACCCTCTGCGGAGGGTGAAGAGGAAGGGCTTCCAGCACCTTAAAAACTGCTGGGACACTCATTACATCCACCTTTCCTACCAGTCAGGTCAGGTGAGGGCAGGTGAGGTGGCAAGTGGCAATGGTTTCGGCCCCGGTTTAAAAAAAAAAAAAAAAAAGAAGCAAACAGAGACCAGTCCCAGAAAGGAGCCTGGAGCCTTCCCCAGGTCCCTCTAACACCCAGGCTTGCTGGCTTCTGCTCAGTCAACTGCCACCCCAACCTCTGGTCAGAGTTTGCAAATATCCCTAAAGCAAAATTCCAGTTGGGAACAAAAAGATGTAGGAATGGAGAATCCCCTAAGCCTGCCTGAGCTTCAGTCTTCCTATCTGCTCAGTAAGGATGATGACTCCCTCAAATTCTGTGCCAGGCCCTGCCCCCACCCCATCCTACCCCAAGGCTACTGTGAGAGCGAGGCATGAGAAAACTTGGTTATAAAAGCACACATGTTAAAAGCTGTCATGGTGAAAGGCCAGGGTACTGAGACTCTCAAACCAGGAGCCTATGACCTCAGAGGCATGAGGCTGGAGTCCCAAACACCTGTCCTCATTCTGGGCCCTCTTAATCACCCCCTCCCTCTTATTCCACCTTAGAGATGGAGGGGGGAGATACTACAGAGTATCAAGGCTGGACAACCAATCAGACCCCTGGGCTCCCAGACTATATACTGTCCCCAGTGTCATCACCCCGCCCTCTCCAAGAGGGCTTCTTTTCCTGCTCATCAGGCAGAAGCTCAGTAGGCTGAGTAAGGGTATCTCACACCACATCTGCTATTACCTTTCCACAGGGACACACAGCCTCAGGGCTACACTATGGGATCACTTTGCTGACAGCCAGGAAACGTGCCATCACTGGCCAATGCAATGCCCCATGGCTTGGCATTCCTTTGTTCAGGGACCCCCTGCCCAGGGTGGTGATGGCTGGAGATGGAGAGTCTCTGGGAATGGATCTAGTCCCAGACCCTGCATTTCTGCCCCTAAGGGGAGGGGGCGGCTCTGGCCTTGGTCAGAATCACTAACCACAGAATCCCAGAGCTGGAGGAGCCCTGAGGGATCACCTGGTGCAAGCCCATTTTACAGATTAGGAGGGGATTGGCCCAAAGTCACACAATCCATTCAGTGGCAGAGCTGAGATTAGCACCTAGTCTTCTGAATGAATCTCAGGCCAGGGCATATTCCACTACACTGTCTCCTGAAACCATTCAGTGGTAAGAAAACCAAGCCTCAGGGAGGTTCTCTTCTTCCTGGACAGACTGAGGCAGGCAGAACAGGAAGGACGAAGGAAGGAAGAAGTCTGGAACAGTCCCCATCATGATTTTCACTCAGGAATGTGGCTAGTGCCATGGAATGGAGCCCACAGACCAAGGCTGGAGTCTGGGAAGGCTTGAGGGTGAAGGGATGGGCCACATAGCCGACCAAGGACTCATTTAAACCTCCAAAGGACTGCTGGCCTCCTGGCTATAAATGAAAGGCCAAGAGGCTCTCAATGAACTTTTGAGGCTCCTTCCACCTGGCTGAGCACCTCAAATAGGTAAGGAGACTGAACAGCAGGAGCATGAATGCTCAAACTCCCTGTAGCTACTCTAGTAACCTGTAGTAATCTGTAATCCAACTTGCTATGGTTATATATCCCTTGCTATCCAGTCCCACTGAGTTTCAACCTAGGTTTAGGAAGAGGAAGGGCAGTCAGAGTGGGAGACAGTATGGGGTGGAGAAGCTCTGATCTGGCCACCTGCAGAACTAGACCCTAGTTGCAGCTCTGCCACCAACTTGTGGAACAGCCTTAGGCAGAAGCCCGTCCACAACTCTGGACTCCGGTTCCCACCTGGAGGACGGAGTGGGCTACACCAGCAATCTCTCAGGACCCTTCCAGCTTGGCTGTTTCATGCCTGGGCACGCCCCTCCCCTGCTCACCTGTCGTAGAAGTCGTCCCGGTAGTAATCATAGTCAAAGCTGTAGCCACTGAGGAAACAAAGGGGAGAGGGCCAGGGCTTAGGGACAGCCACTCAGCCCACTCTCCATAGGCCCTCATCTCCAAACACCTCCCCAAATTCTAGGCGTGGCACACTGTCACCAACCAATGTTCACTCCCTCTGTGGAAAGAGGGACCAATCCCACCCAGATGGAGAGAAAGAGAAGAGACAGAGCGCCCCACCTGTATATGGCGGATGCTGCTCTCTTTAGTCCCTTGGGTCTGTTGGGCTTGGGCTCTCCAGCCATGTTGATATCTGTGTGGAGAAAGGCACAGTCAGATGCTGGCAACACAGCAGGAAATCCAAACACTTATCACCTTCATGTACAGGAGGAGCAATTTCTATAGGTTTGTGAGGGACAATGGACTCTCCTAATTAGCACCAACAGAGGTCTTCACACATTAGACTCCTACCCACACATCACAAGAGATATGCCTATTTACAAATGCATGTACATTCAGATGTATGCATGCCCGCACACGTCACACACAAACATACCATGAACATCACATATATATGCATTCTCAAGCACATTCCTGTAACTAAGTACTTCAGATACATATCTTCACACACTTGTTCATATATCCAGATAATCAAGTCACACACAAAAATAATATATGTACTCAAGTACACTGAGACTTGGGTCCAATGTCATGTACATAACTGCTCATCTACAAGTGAGCCACATTCAAGCAAATGTTCTACTGAACATCTTTCTAACTAGAATGATGCTTAGCATACGACAGGATCTCAGTATCTGACAAGTATGCATATCTGCTTATACACATTAGTATATTCTGACACATACACTTTATATATTATATATAGTAATGATGTGTCCACATATTCTCCATATGTTTAGTAACATCCACATATCACACATTCAGGAATACATCTATTGATATCCTTTCTTGAACATACATATACACAGAAGTAGGTGCACTGTACACACTCCAAAGTAGACTACATGGCCACATCATATATATATATAACACCAAGGCCAAAGGCACCTGCTTCACCTTGTGCTCATAGCCCCTCCTCCTGGCTCTCATAAATTATGAGTTCCAACCTGGGGGCACCTAGGTGGCTCAGGTGGTTAAGCGTCTGACTCTTAATTATGGCTCAGATCATGAGCTCATCTCACAGTTCATGAGTTCAAGCCCCATGTTGGACTCTGTGCTGACAGTGTGGAGCCTATTTGGGATTCTCTCTCTCCCTCTCTCTCTGTCCCTCTAGAGAGCTCACCTGCTCTCTCAAAATAAATAAACTTAAGTGGGGGGCAGTTCTAACTTAAGACATCTGTAGCCTAATGTTATAAGCTATGCTAGTCCACTGTTCAGTTTCTCTTAGGAATCTGCATTTTAACCGGAACCATAAAGTTTGTCATTAGAGTCACTATGAAGGCAAAGACATGACAGAACCATTTTTTCAAAAAAATTTTTGAATGTTTTATTTCTGAGAGACAGAGTGAGCAGGGGAGGGTCAGAGAGAAAGGGAAACACAGAATCTGAAGCAGGCTCCAGGCTCTGAGCTAGCTGTCAGCACAGAGCCCGACACAGGGCTTGAACCCACAAGCTGTGAGATCACGACCTGAGCCAAAGTCGGACTCTTAACTGACTGAGCCACCCAGATGCCCCATGACAGAACCTTTTTTTTTTTTCCAAATTTATTTCTAAGAGAGAGAGACAGAGACAGAGACACCGTGAGCAGAGGGGGGGTCAGAGAGGGAGATACAGAATCTGAAACAGGCTCCAGGCTCTGAGCTAGCCATCAGCACAGAGCCCAACGTGAGGCTCAAACCCAAGAATCATGAGATCATGACGTGAACCGAAGTTAGATGCTTAACTGACTGAGTCACCGAGGCACCCTAATTTTTGAGGAGCTTCTAAAATTCACCCTTGCGTATAACTACTTAATTCATACCTTAAACGTAATTTACAACTATTTAGTTATAACATTTCAGATAAGGATAGTAGAGTGAGAGAAACAGAAAAAGGTCTAAGAGGGGAGCTAAAAAGTGAAGGCCAGCACCTGCTCAGGAGAATACCAGGAGCAGGGCCAATGAGAGATGCTTACCCAGTGTCTGCCCGGCCAGCACACGCCCATTCTCTCCCAGCACAGCTGCGCGGGCATGACGCTCGTTGGCATACTGGACAAAGGCATAACCTTTGTGCACAGAACAGCCGGCTACACGGCCATACTTGGAGAAGATGGTCTCCACATCTGACTTTTTCACCACAGCTGTGTTGAGGTTTCCGATGAAGACTCGAGAATTGATAGACTTGGGGTCGTTCTTGTTGGTTACGTTGCTTGTCTGGATCTTCAAGGACATGATGGCCACCTGAAGAGAGAGAGCAACTGTGAGGCTGCGTCCTCCAGTTGGGCTCAAGGTCTACCCATGGCCCAAATCCTAACTAAACTGGATTGCTCTGTGCCCTGCTACATACACACAACCCTACCCTACAGCATTCAGCCTCTCAGCCTCCCCTTTTTACATCTCACCAGGATGCTGGCCTCATTTAGTACTGACATGATAAGCAGAACCAGGACGTTTCATAAGGGAGAAAATGCACATTTAGAGGTCACAATGCTAGTGAGTGGCAGGGCTGGGATTTGAACCCTGGTCTGCTGGACTCTAAACCCATTCTTTCTTAATGCTTATCTCAAATGTTACATCATGCAGGATCTAAATTTGAAGACCTTCCATAGTTTTTCTTCTGTTCTTTCAATGTAGAACCATGGTGAAGAAGTCACATGGTAACTGCAGGTAATACCTGCTCTAGAATAGTATCACATTATGAAAATTACTCAGTCTGATCCAGACACTGACCTAGTTATGGCTATCTTTATTGGCATCAGCCATTTTTAAAAAGGTAGGCTAAATAAGCCTCACTGAGCACTCATGGCAGGCTAGGGTGGCATGCCACTACGGATTATTACTATTGTTCGTATTTTACAGAAAGAGACTCCAATGAGTTCTCTACTTGCCAGGAATAGGCCAGGTGGTCCCACAGCCCTTTTTTTTCCATCTTTATCACTCTCCTTTCCAGAGCTAAAGCCAATTTAAATACTACAGTTAAGTCAGCATATTACCCATTTTTATACTAACTCATTCAAATTTTATTGTTTGCTTAGAGATAATATTGTACCTACTTTTTGCTCTCTAAATTCTGGCAATGTCTTTTACCCCAAGGAACCTCACCAATCTCTCCTACCCCTGACCCTGGACATGCTACATTAGAGCACAGGCTCCAGAAGGAAAGGAAAAGGAGGCTTGATGTCAGTAAGAAAAATCTACCAGTAAGTACTGGCATTTGTACTTACTGCCCCAGACTTCTGCTCATTGGCATGGGTTTGTACAACTCCCTTTTGGAACCCTCATATCTCAATACCCCATTGTAGAGCTATTACAGAAGGTGCTGAAGACCCTAAGCGGAAAGGAAAGGAGAAAGGAGAAAGGAGAAAGGAGAAAGGAGAAAGGAGAAAGGAGAAAGGAAAGGAAAAAGAAAAAAACCTCTCATCAGCCTAGGCTAACTGTAAACACCTGCCTATGAACCTAGTATTTTGGGGTAGAAGGAGCTTCTTTTCAGGGAATTAGAGCAGAGCTGAGTATAGGCAGGGAAAGCCTTATCTTTTGTTCTATAAGAGATCCTTTTCTCTTCGCTCCTCCCAGCCTGGAAGCTGGCATGTTCTGACCAGCAGATGGCACTCACTGCAAGGAAACCATAGGCTAGACATGAGAATAAGTAATTCCGAGGAAGAACCTATTCCTACCTAGTGTAGGCTTGCAGTAGCTTGATGGATATACTGGGGTCAAGTGTGTACCATCCTAGATAAAGGACAGGGGCTAAGAGAGCACGGGTATTGATGAAGGAGCTACTGCCGCCTTTGGAAAGGGCCTGGAAAGGACAGACTCTTTTATTACTGTTTACTTTTACATCCAATCATCATTTATTAAGCAGTGAGGAACATAAAAGATATTATCCATGAAAACACAACATACTGTTCATGTGCAGCACAAAATGCTCAATGTATGTGGGTTCCCTTTGCCCCCCGCCCCCATTCCTCACATTCCTGTCTGATAATCCCTTGCCTACCTGGATGACAAGCCATTCAAAAGTTAATTCTTTATCCGTGGATATAACAAGAAGTTTGTGGGGCTCCTCCATGGGCATCGGAAAACTCTCCAGGTTGGTTCAGCTCAGAGCCATGAAGTTTTGGCTCAGGGAGAAGCCATCTACTGTGGCAAAAGGGAACCAACCACTGACCTGGGGGTGTAGACCAAGACAGAAAGAGAAGGGGGGCGATGGTTCAGACCTGTTGATGACTACTCTCTCTGCCACTGACCTGGCAGGGACATGACAGGTGCCGGGCTCCCTCAGACCTCTGGCAGGAGCCTCTGATACCAACCACTGAGCGGGAAGCATTTGCTGAGCACCTATGTTTAGTTCTACAACAGGACCAGCACTCACTCCTTGGCTGGTGAGTGAAGTTCGTCAGGTTTGGCCATACTTAGTCTTATCTCTTCTCACCTGGGGTTTGGGACAATTGTACATAAAAAGGTCTTTTGCAAACAGTGAAACTCTTTATAGGACCTAATAATTACCCTCTGACTAGTTGAACTCCTCTGTTCTAACAACACTGCCCAATATTGGTGAAACCCATTCTAGATGAGGGTGAAGGTCAGACTGGAGCACATTCTGAACAATGCCAAGAAAGGGCTGCCAAAAGCTGTTTCACACAAAGATTACTAAAGAGACCGGGGACATTTATGCTTGTGGCCATGGTGGGTGAGGAACCTGCAGGGCCATGAAGAAATGTCCACCTGAAGCATGCTCCAGGCACCAACTCCTATACTCCCCCCCTCCCCTCCGCCACCTAATCAGTCCTCAATCCACTTTCAAGGCCTGTACACTCTCCCAAGGGCAGGCTGTGTTGCTACTATGCATATTCCCTAAGCCCAAAGGGATAGCTAACTATGGGAATGTGCAAAAGCTTTAGTGTCTAAACACATGTTTATGAGGCTCCTCAAAGTGAGAGATCAAGTTGGGCTTAAGAAATGAAAAGCATGCCCAAACTACCTCTTCCAGAACTGCTAGGTTCAGGTACAGAATCCCAAAGAGTCAAGAATTCTAAATTCAGACATGGTCTTCCAGGTTGTTATGAACCTAACAATTCGTTAGCTTCACTCATAACCTCCCAATATTAGACATACGGCACGTAAGTCTCCACCTGCACTCTTGTCCTGCCCTGCAAATGGTAAAGGCAGGCCTGATGAAGGCTGGGGCACAGTCAGTTCCCAATAAACATTAGGGAGGAAGCAATAGTAATAATGTCCCAGGAGGTGTTGAGAAGGGCTAGTGTAGCCCTACCTGGGGGGGGGGGCGGGGGCACACAGGTACCTCATTAAAACACTAGAGTATCTGACCCAAACACCCCCCCTGCCCCCTGCAGACCAACCATCCCCAAGTCAGTCCTCCCCTAAATTCTTTTTTGGTTCTTCCAGGCTTCCCCCTAGCTTAGAGTATGAGCCTTAGTAAATACTGACATCCTATTCAGCAGAAGCTGCTTGATTTGATAAGCTATTTCCCCCAGCCAAGCTCTCCCTCACAGATTAGCTGTGTAATTGAGAGCAAGGTGTCTGCAGCCCCCAAGAGGCCCCATGCTTACCAATGAGTCAAGGAGAAGTGGGTAGAGGGATGATTCTTGGTGGTGGGAAAAGGAAGAAAGAACCAGACTTCTTCCCAGAGACGTATGCAAATGTCAGATTAGCGGGGACTTCAGTGAACATGGGGTTTATACACCCTCACCCTGAGGAACAGAGGGGAATGGACTTGGCCACAATGCCCCAGCCCATGAGTGGCAGGGCCAAGAACCCTACGAGTCCTCCAAGTTCTTATATTCCATCTTTCCATAGGGCTGGTGAGAGACTACCCCTCAGGACAGTGAGAGGCTGGGAGGGAGCAGTCCAGAGATGTTATCTGAGGAAAACTGGGGACTGGCTCCCAAGTAAGTGTCTTGACCTGGACCTTTACCTGCTGGAGAAACAACTGCTAAATAAAAGCCAGGCCCATAAGCTAATTAAAACCCACCAGAGACATAGGCTTTGAAATGCAATTTACAGCTCAAAAGGATGGGCTCACTTCCCCAGGCAAGTAAGAACAGAGGAAATTTGGCAAAAACAAATCACTTTTCCCAGCTGAAACATTTCAGATGGAAGCTATGTTTTAGAAGCCACGAGCCAAGCTTGAACATGTGGTAAAGTGACAGGGCTTTGTTAAGGTAGAAAAACCCTAAAACGTATGACCACCCCTGAATTCTGGGTAAATGAGACCCCCCAGAGAACCATCAAGATAGAAAGAGCTCTGATTCTACATGTGCCACTTTATTTAATCCTCACAACAGCCCTGTGAAGAGGTATTTTAAGTAGGGGATGAAGACTCAGGCCAGGTTATTGGTTAATAGAGAAAGTCGGGACTGGAACCCAGGTCTGTTTGACTCCAAAAGCCTATTCAAAGAGATGCCTTGGTTACTGATTGCCAAGGTAAGATGGTGTCGCCCTGACCAATGATCCCCTCTCCTTGCTCCTCACCTATTCCCTTTCTCCTCATGTTTGCAAAGGATTTTAATGAACAAAACCAGTTTATGTCCTTGACCCTGATGTTGTTAGTCCCATTTTTATAGATGAAAAGCTGAGGCTCAGCAAAAGTAAGTGGCTTACTGAAGGTCATCCAGCTAGTAAAGGGAGCAGCTAGGGGGCTTGAATCCAGGCTTCTCCATACCACTGTTTCAGCAACTGTCCCAAGGCTCTGACTCTGCCATGTTAGCCCTCATAATCTTGGCTATCAGGACCAAATTTAGTCTCTGCCTAACCTCTGAGGCACTCAGCCATTAGAATGCCCAATGCCTTAACTGTAAATCCTACCTGGCACTGGATCTCTTCTTGAAGCACTAATTTCAAAAGAGGAGCTGCTGCTCTTGGTCCTGATGACTCCCAGTGCCACTTAGAGCCTCTGCCAAGGCCAGCCCTGCTGGACATCTCTGGCCTCATTCTCCAAAGTGCAGATGAGGGTCACACCAGCCTGTGGCCAGACCTTTGCCCTTAGGTAACACTGGGGATGTGAGAATGATTTTGAAGAAAAATAGCTATCAGTAACAGTGAGGCTATTTCTGGAGAAAGTCAAGCAATTAGACTGATCAGTGCCCAGGGCCTCCTTGGTCCAGAGGCTCCTGGTTAACAGGCGGCCAAGGATGACAGAACATCTATTAATCTCATTAAACTCACCAGGCCCCAGCTCATTAGCATTGCCCAAATGATCATTACTGGCCAGACAGGACTAA